TCAAGGTCAGAAATATTTCAAAACTCGAAAAAGTTGTCCGCTAAACTTATTAAAAGCTATAAAACTCATGAAAAATTTCTCACGCTCAACTCAAATTTGAGTTTTTGTCGGGGGAATTGATTTATTTTAAAAATCAATTCAAATTTTTTCACTGCATGGAAGAAACATTACATTCACCACAAAAATCGATTAATTTTGAAATATTGACTCAACAGCGTAAGCACAAATTTGAGAAAAGGGGTTGATAAGCGGAAAGAGGGGACTCAACTTAATTTGTGACCGAAAAACATGTAGGTTCAATGCAAAATGATTGTATTTTTTCAAAGAATTTCATTTTAGCCTAATTTCAGGAGAACAATTTAAAATTTTTTTCATGAAATATCAGTTTGCCTTGTAACTTTTTAGAGCAAAACAAACACATAAAATGCCAAAAAGGCAAACGCAAAACTTAGAACAGATTTTCGACTTCGTGTAAAATTGCAGGCCATAATTATTTCAGAAATTCATAACGCTGTCCGATAAACTTGTTAGAATCTATACTGAAAAAAAAATCAACCCGATCCAAATGTGTTTCATCAATACATTTTCTGACACTTAACGCGTGGCGACTTAACTGGATGTTCATTGGAAAAACATTTGGGATTTCGAAGAAAAGAATGAGCTCAAACTGGAGTTATTAAAAAAAACTAAATGTTTTTTCCAAGCATAGAACAAACTTGACACTTTTTGCCTAAAAATGAACTGGAAATTATAGTGCAACATCCGGTTTAGTTTCGACATATTTCATATTCAGTAACCTGCTATGACAATGAAATTGCAAGAACACGCTCCCATTTGCGTTCTAGATTCAAGTCTAATTTAGCGTAGCTAATATCGCATTCATCATTGATGTGTGCTACCCTTGCGCCATTCAGCTGTCTAAGTTTTGGATTTGAGAGAAACTAACTTCCAAGCTATTTTATTTGGTACGAGCTAAGAGGTAAACTTAAGCACAGAGGCGAATCTTTGTTTGACAAAAAGCAGCTCTGAAAATGCAATAATATATAAAAAAGAAACAAATAATCCTCGAATTAGCAAAAGTTCGGCTAGGTCTAGAATTCGATCTGCGACCTACTGCAATCAACAGATTTTGAGTCTCACACACTAACCACTCAGCCACGCACGCGCAACGACCGATAAATACTAGTCACGAGCAAAGCAGCTACATATGCTAATAAACAGCCAATGCAATTCAGCAGAAGTGGCACCAACTACAGACAAACACAATTTTGCAATTAATAGTTTGAAAAATAACAAACTGAAGGCATCTACAGTAATTTTGCATGATACAAATCGCAAAGTAACAAACCACATTATGTATGAATTATGCATTTCAAAAAATTGCTAGATATATTGAATCAGAAAAATTCTGAAATGGAATTTGTAAGATTTTTATGTTGTTTGAAACAACTAGTCTTTTGGTTCATTTAATGAATTAAAAAAGCATAAACCGTGTTCACTAAGTACTATTCGAATGTCAAAGCACATGCTACCAAAAATCTGTTAAGGTGCCCCAAAAGTTACACCAAAATTTGCGACTTAGATTAGTCAAAAAGAAGATTCTTAATAAAACACTAAGCTGACCCTAGTGTAAACAACACATTTTCAATACAAAGGCAAAACTGCCAATGCAAATGAGCAAAAAAACGACAAAAAGTAGCTTAAAACGTAAAAAGAAAAAAATCAAGAAACTAGAATAAGTTTTGAAAAAACAAATTTCCTCAAAACGAAATGAACATCAGTCCTCGGATCTTCAAGTTTGTCAGTTGAAAACTCTGCACAGTTGTGCCACTGACGCTTATAGACACCCACAAAAGGCAGCACGAGAATCAAAACTAACACGCAAAGGCAGCACGGCTAACTGCATTTAACCATGCTGCCTTTGCGTGTTAGATTTGAGTTTGAAAACAAAATCTAAAAACATGAATGTCAAAAACCTCGCAAAAACACTGAGTTGAAAAATTTCTGAAAGCGAACTTTTATTATTGTACTTTCTTCGATACTTTCGCTTTCTTCGGTATATTTGATTGCATCAAAAATGCATAAACTGTGTTATTTTATTGAAGGTTAAATACCAACACAGAGGCGAAGATGAAAATGATTTGAGGGAATTGCGAAAATTCAGAAAAATAGTCAAGAAACACAACATACAGCTCTTAACCAATCTTCTTTTTTTTTGAAAGAGCACTAATTAAGCCGACAATGCTTTCATTGAGCCAAAAACAGCCGTTCTAAGTCACTCATAGAGCGTAAAACAGAAAAAAAAACTTCATAAATAATTAATGAGGTTAAATTTTTTTTTGCCTTTGAAGCAATACAAATCAAGGCAACTAAGCCGATAAAACATAAATCAAAACAATTTCGGCCGAATGAAGTTTTTAAGCGCAACATGATTAGAGAAAACATCGAAAACACGAAATTTGCAGACCGCACAAAAAATTCAAAATGAGCGGACAAAACCTAAGCAGACAAGCAAATATTCGACAATTCAATTTTTTAAAATAATTTAATAGATACTGAAAAAAAACTTGGTCGGGACTCAAACCCACGAACTAAGTGTACAGAAACAGCCGCGTTACCTCTAAAGCAATAAAGTAACACTAATTTGAATTTCATATGTGAGAAAATTGTTCACTGGAAAAAAGACTGAGCAAGTGTAACAAAAATGCTATTGAATAATGAATTCACCTTCGTTCTTTCAAAGTGGCACCAATAATTGCGAGGTTACACTAATATTATGTTGGAAAGAAAAGTAGACTTGTGGTATCAGACTACGCTCGGTTTTTGTAATCAAGCATATATTTCTACTAACAAGATATTTCTGCTAACAATCAACATTGAAATCAAGATTTTCAATGAAAAACTGGAAAGTCTATTTAGATAAAACTCGTCAAAATAAAGCAAGTGAGCGACGAAAACTTTTGAAAAAAAAACAAACGATGTTGCCTAGCGCTGGACTTTTTTTAAGTTTCGTAAAATTAATTACGTTTAAATGCACTGTTGACTCCAGGACAATCATAACTTTAAAATGGGCGACAAAAAACTTGACAAACATTTCGCAGAAGTGTGCTGAGACCGCCGAAAAAAGAAAGGCAAAAAACTAATTACTGAGAGAAATCTTTATTTTTGCAGAAAACACTTGAAGTTTTCATTAAACAGTAAAAACAACCATGAAAGTGGCAATAATTTTCTTGCACAAATAACTAATAAGACCGAGGTACACTGCGGAAAACAGTTACATTGATTTTTCTTCTAGCTTCTTTTGACTAAAAATAACCAGCAATGTAAGCATCCTTTTTCATAACGGAAAACATTTTTTTTTCGAAACGCCATTGATTTGTTTTTTCAGCAGACACATTTTCGTGATGACCTAAGCTAAAGATAGCCAATCGAAGATTGGAAAAGGGCAATGAACAAATTTAGATGCCCTTTAACCTCTTTAAATTTCTAGAACGATCTATGACTGGCGGTTTTTTGGTAACATTAACCCAACTTAAGAAAATTGGATCAATAGATAAAGTTTTTATTCCGCTGAAAATCCAAAAATTAAATTCCACTATCGAAACTAGAAATCGTTCACGTTTTTTCGCGCCATTTCCATGTCCATTTTTGGAGTGCTTTTTACGTCACTTTCAGCAGATGAATTTCAATTGAACTCGAGAAGAGTATGTTTTTGCTCTTTCACACATGTTCTTTCACAAGGAATGAATGAAAAATGAAATATTAGAACGCATGAATGAAGAAAAATTATTTGCATAGTTTCGCTCAATTTTCCGGGCTCTTTCACAATTTTCCGGTATCTTTCCCTCAGAAAGAAAGAGCAAAAATATACTCTTCAACAGTTAGAGCATAGTTGAAGATGGCCTCGGGCAAAAGAGCCGCACTCAGGCACTTCTTCTTTTTCTCTCGGGAATCTTTCAACTATGTTCTAACTACTACAAAGTGCATATATACGTAAGTGTATTCATAAATGCATCAATATGTATGAATGCACATCTGTATTTATTAGAGACTTTTTAGAGTTTTTCCTAAAAAAATATAACGAGTTCAAGACCAATATAAGAGTCTTCACTACTTTCATTACTCCTAAAAACTTAATTAAGAATGCTAATATAAACGTATCAGAGCTATTGAACCCAGGAAAACCTTTGAAAATTTCTCCCATTTTTAGCATTGCAAATTAAGGCAACAATTTTTTAGATTTCGTAGCCCTAGTGGCAAGGTTTTGTGTAGATATCATTTCTACCATGAACTTAATTTATAATGAAAAAGAAAATATCTCTAAAAGTATTTTGGTCTTAGTTAAAATTATTTTTGAGCTACTAAGCAAAAATCTACTATTCACTTTATTTTAGAACCTGAAACTTGTTAAATGGTAGAACTAATTGTTATTAACTTATAGGACTACTGCGAGCAAACGCAAATTTCGCGCGACTATCTCATCTACCGCAAAAACAGGGTGGCCACAATGTCTGAGAAAACTCAGGCACTGATACTAACACAGAAATTACATGCCAGGCACTGACACTTTTTGAAAAATTGGCCTTTTTTTGCTTTGTTATCCAACTTTTTTGATCAAACTATTTTATTTTTCTCAGAGCTGCTCATACTACCTGAACAAATATTATACTGTGTAAGCCTGCTTCGATTTGTGATTTTTAATGATTCAGTAGAGAAGCGCGATAAAAAAACTGGCACTGATATTCATTTGATGGCACTGATACCGTGGCCACCCAAAAATAGTATATTTGTAACTCAAATTAAAAACCATTTTTAACTTAATAAATATCTTGAGCCATGCTAAGCTACATTTTCTAAGTTACAATTTACATTTCATTTATTTGACAGTAGTCGTGGGTGACCGGAAGTTTAGAGTATATGGTCAAACTTTGAGCCCCCAGGAATTAGTCAATAAATTGTCCCCACCAATGAAAAACTAGGAAAAATTTTTCTACCAGAAAGCCAATGAGCTGCTTTTCAAACTTTGATCTCGTAATCGAAACAAAACTCAAAAACATGAAAAAATTTTGGACCCTAATTCCTGTCGACTCAATTTACCATCACACGTAATAGCTTGAGTTCATGTAGTTGTTTCAGTTTGAGAAAGGAACTTGTCGCTAACTGGAGCATCTGTCAATATCGTTCCCACAAAAACATGCGTTCCAAAAGTGCCGTGATGAACCACTTTACAGCAACCCAAATCGTCGATTCGGAAACCAAACTTCTCGTACAGCTCGTCTGTTTCAAACAGTGTGCTATTAGTGTGAGGCGCATAGAATGGCTTCCCTGTCATCGGGTCAATAAAGTCCGCAAAATAATTTTGCACCTTGAGAAACTCACAAATAAGCTGAGCCCCGTGAACAAACTTTTCGATAACCTGTTCCCGCTCTTCGTCAACTGAGTCGTTCCAACCACTCATGTCATTTACCGTCTTATGACTCAAATTAATCAGCACTAAATTTCTTGATTTAAGATCCGAGTTCATCGGAAACAGTCTCAAAATTTCATTTTTGATAAACTGCGGACATTTGAAAGTGCACACCTCAATAGGTATATGGTAGCTGAATATTACTTCTTTTAAGTTTTCGAAATTCGGGAAAACTGGACTTGCTGTTTCGCCAAAACTGTTATCAGCGCGAAGCACTTTTACAAACTTTTGTAAAGTTTCGATTTTGTGTTCATCATTAGGAAGTTGCATACCACTAAACGCAAAAAGATCGTTTTTGATCTCATCTTTTGAATAACCGCTAGATCCAATGAACACTTCAGACTTTGATGGAGCTTTTGAGTACTCTGTTGATTGCGTACCTTGAAAAAATTCGTTGAAAAACGTTTCCGAGAATCCAACATTTCCGGGAAGAGGGAATGTGGAATCTGGTATGATAGGGTTTGAGGTTGAATATTGCGTGGAGTTCGAAATATTAGCACCGGTGTTTGATTCGTCCTTTGCTCCATCTTGTTCCTTCGGAATTAAAGAATCACTTGATTGAGTCTCTCCGGTAGACCCTTTCTTCTGTTTTGAATTAGCGCTACTGGATGTAAGGTAGCTCTGGGCTCCCCAGAAAGTACCAGGTCCATCTCCGCTACTACTTGATAAATCCCGGTTGAAAATAAAAAGGATGCCAGGGTAATTTCTGAATGTATGGCAAAATAAACGATACTTTTTCGCAAATACAGACATTTCAAACGTCTGAAAAATAACTGTACACTGAATATCTAATTAGCAGCTCTCTTAGAAAGTTAACGATAGTAATGTCTGAATGGTTGGCTATGATATGCACTCAATTCGCCTAAGACTTTGAAAAATGCTAACTAATTAGAATTAAATTCGATATAAACACAATTTGAACACACAAACTGGGTTTAAGATGTGGAAAAGATATAAAAAAGGTACTGTCATTTTGGACCTGATTCAAGTGAATTGAAATGCACAGAATAAATTAAAAGGGCTGTGTGACTGATTTGTAAGAAAGTTTAAAGTGCATAGCATCAGGAGGCAGAGAAGAACCATTAAGAAGATTATGGTTGAAAAGGAGCGAGAGAGGATTGAAATTAATGAGCAGAGCTATATAATTTATTCTACTAGCAAAGGATACACGAACATTTTTGACAGTTTGAATCAAACTCAGGACCCAGTTTTTAAAAAATAATTGATTCTGAATGTCTGAAAATTAAAAGAGAAAATGGAAATCCGTTTCACAACCTTAACACAGGGATATGTTAACTTGGTCTCGAAATCAAAACAAGGATATTTCTGAAATCTATCAAATTTAGAGCTTCTAAAAACTACTTCGGAAAATTCTAATTAAGGTATGCTCTGCTTACTGAGCAGGTAATTTATCAAAAGACGCAGCCGGTTCAAACTAATCTTAAAAAAGAGGAAACTGGGGCACTTATCATTATTAAAACACCAGCAAGCGAGCAAATAAAAGCTGGGTTCTAGCGTTTGCTTGCAATCACATTCTTTAAAAAAAAAGATATCGGCCGAACCCAGCATATGAAAAGCGAATATGAATCAACCAGGCATTTTTTCAGCCTGCCCTGCAAAATAAATAGAATTCAACAAATGTCCTCAAAACCACGATACAGATGCGGGTTAAGGATTAGATATACCGTTTTGTTCTTTTAAAATGTGAATTTTACTGATTTGTCGTGGACCTAGAATTTAAAGTTTCGAAAAGTAATCTTAATGGACTTCTGTGGTTTGTTTGGAGCCAAGTATTTGTCGAACAAAATATTTATCTAGAGCAGGCTGAAAGTTAAAAATATATCATCTATCAGATAATAAGTTTTTCACAAAATTAGGTTAGTTATGCGTCATTTTTCTACAAAAGTATCATTTTTATTGATTTATTATTGTACCAGCATAAACAGAATTTGTTCAACGTGCAGACATTACTCCTCTCCTAATGAAAATGTGACAGCTTTTTGGGATAACATTATTCATAACACAGCATCATCTTTTCTAAAAAAATTACCAGAACTTATACCCAGACCTAAATAACCAAAATGAACATTTAGTACGGAACAATGTAATAGGAACTATCTCTAGCCCAACAATCCCTCATTCAAACACCAACAACAACACTATAAAACCAACCTAGGCAACAGTTTTCTGTTTCAGCTGCCCACTAGAAATGTGTGCATCTCTATAGACTAAATGCTAGCTCTTTTACTGATTCATTTTCCCACACTTACAAATAAACTGTTTACACGAATAGCAGCTGTTGACTTTCCTCATTTAGGAACCGATAATTTTATGCGTCTTATGCTAATTGTTTATCCAGGAAAAGTAATTCATGAAGCTGTCATCGAATCATCAAATCCAAAATATAATTATATCTATTCGTTTTTTCAAAGTAACGAATCTGCTATCATAAAAATTAAATCAGAGGGAGTTCATTTATGTGTGTAAAAATACCACGATACAAATATTTTACTTGGACACAAACATTTAAATGTTGGTTGGAATTTTGGATCGTGACATTCGTTTATTAATTCAACTCCCAGGTTACGCAAACAAACCACCAGCATTTAATAGCATCAACAAGATTACCAAAAACCAAACCGAAAGATTGTATTCATTTTATGATAATAACTTATCCTGATGAAACTATTAAGGAAATTGAAATTGACTCTTCAAACAAAATATGATTATACTTGTTCTCTGCTTGAGGGAAACAGCTCAGGAGTTGTCATTACCGATTTCGAAGGAATTCACTTGTGTATAAATCTTAAGCCATTAAAAATAAAATTGAATTGATACATTCCAAAAGTAAAATTTGGAGAAAAATATATGTTCCTTCTTGACACACTTAATCAAAATCTCTGCTTAGTCATATCCTGCTCTCATTTCCCAAAAAAGTTTTTATTCCCGAGTAGCAGCAATTTTATCATCTGTAGCAATTGATAACCATTTACACTTAATTATCAACGACTTTCACCAAAATCAAGTTGACGATATTATCGTAAAAGCAATGAATTCTAAATACAAAGATATTCTTCACACCATCAAGTATAAAAACTCAGCCAGTTTCGAAACTGCTTGTGAAGAAAATAATTTTGGTGAGTAACATAGTTGACCATAATACTCATGTTATTTAAACATTACAATCGTCACGTACTCCGTTACCAAATAGAAAAATCTTTCGGCGCTTGTAACAGTTCATATTGTCCAAAAATAATATTATACTTCGATTATTGTAATACGTGGGAAGACGGAACAATTGAAGTCTTCCACAACTCGCCGTATTGGAATTTTTCCTAGTTATGTCGAATACGTGTTTAAGAAGTCATTTGCCAAATGACATAAGCGACTTCCAGTCAAATGATCTCACTAACTTCTCGTTAACTGTTTATCCAGTTACCAAACCTACGTTACTCACTCATTGGGAGTAGAAAAAAACACTTTCATCTTTTACATACGAGTAAGCTCAACTCCTTTATATCAACTACAATCATATTTCCAGGAAGTCACCCTATTTTCTTTGAGCTAAGTCATTTTCTCGCTTTCGACACAAATGCAAAATTTTTTCTAAACCCTCCTTTTTTTCTAATTAGAAAAAAAAATGATGTTTAATATCAACGACTGACCAGTTTCAGTTAATCATATAAAGAAAACCTTTGAATTACGAACCCATTAACAAGTTTATATGATAGTTAAATTTCGATACATCGAAACGGGTACTTTTGGGGAACTCAGAATTTATCCAACTTCCCGATATTGGTCATTCTTTCTTTTTGCATCTGATCACCCAGAGTCCTGTCCTATCAATGTTGAATGTAAAAATTGTACCTCAGACTAGAATGATAATCTTCTGCGAAGGAATCTTTGTCAAAATAAAGGGGTTCCAACGCTCCTTCATTCTATCAGAAAATTTCAAAGTAATCCCCAATTTATTTCGAAACATGAATTATACACAGCACCATTATTAAACCAAGCAATAAATACTGGCATCTTATACTATGCCTTGCAAATAGGCTAACATTTCCCGTTCCCTGCGATTTAGACCATATTGAATAAGCAGTGAGAATGACAACTGAATGTCCCATATGCTTGGAAGTTTGTGATAAAAAAACTACATAAGAAAATTACCTCCACAACCAGCACATTTAGTTTGTGTTATATAGCGTGTCTTGCTATGCTAATTAATGATTAGAAATGAGGAATTGTGTTTGAGAGTAATAAAGGGATGTGCTTCGTGATGTCTACCTCCTTCTCAGCTGAGTCTAAGCTGTTTGATTTATAAGAGTGAGTATTAATCTTTTAATTACTATTTTTGAGCTGTTTTACTGTAATGGCTCTCTCTCAATTAATGATTCAATTACTTTCTCATTGATTGTTTGCATTAAGTAAATATGAGTTTAACACTTTGTCATTGACATATAATGGCATTGATATTTAAGTCTAATTCGCACCAATTATGGTAATTAATAATGAGTAACTAACATAGGCGTGAAGCGCTATGTGACACTTACACACCTGTTGATAGTTCCCTGGCGGCTAATAACCAAGGGAGAACTTGAGTTAGCACGCACCGGGTGTAATATAGCACTGCATTAATTTGATTCGTAATATGCGTAGAGGTGCAATTGATTTGTACTTTTCAATATAAAGGCTAAAGTTATAGGTCATTGATTTACACAAATTATTATTAAACTCTGAACTAAATTTAAGTACATTCAACATGTTGAACACAGTTATATTAGGACTCAAATATACGCAAATGCATGCCCCTAACTGCTCAGAATATATTCATGGTGAAAAGGATTTAGGTTTAAACAGGTCAATTTAAGTCTGATGAGACAATCCGATTTCAAAGTTATTTTGGCCACGTAGTCAGTCTTATAGGTGATTTATGAATGTGAGTTCAATGAATGCCAGTAACTGGTCAAATTTGGCTTAAGCTCTCCTCTCTCCCTTTTTCGTTAAAGCTCGTTTCGTTCAAGACAACCTGTGATTCTTGTGTTCTGCTTATGTTCCCCATTGAGGAGCAGGCTGAGGTTAGCCTTGATCGGTTGGTTGGCGTTTGATAGGCATTCAGTTCTGCTTGTGTTAGTACTATGTATTTCTCACGAAGCTTGGACCCATCCTTTTGGAAGGCCTTCCTGTCAGATGCTGCTACTGAGAGCACCGGTCGAAGTGCGATGGTTCCATCCTGCCCTTTCAGAAACTTCGGAGTCAATCTTCTGAAGATGGCAAACCGGTGGTAGAGGTACATGATGAGTGCATGCAAGACAAGATTCCCCAAAAAGACTATTGCTGTCAATGTAAGGGAAAGCCGTAATGGTACACACTGTTCCATTTTATCCACTAGGGTGGGTTTCAGCAATCTCATGTGATGGGCGATCGGCTTTGCGATGTCATTTAGCTGGTCTGTTTTTGTCAGGTGAGGGCTGTCTATCAGTTTCGCTTTTACTTCCCGCAGTAACTTAACTCCGGCATCCGTTTTTGATTCATAATACGGGAGTTCTGTTAAGTCTGGCAATTCTGAAAGAAGATGCGACAAGGGGTCCGGCAAGTTCACGGTAATCCGTTTTGCTGGAATTTTGTCACAGCTAGCGAGGTCCGGCCTAATTTTTATGTATTTGCTGATCAACTGAGTCCCACAGTCTAATGTTATCAGACAAATATTACAGCCTGCATGATCTTCCCGTTTGGGGGTGTTCAGCTCTTCAAGGCTGTACTCTCGTAGGGAAAATGACGCACTGGCTGATGTGATGAGCCAAATCCCGTAGCCCAAATTCGTAGCTTTCTCCGGCGTAGGGAGAAGTATCTTTTCCGTTTCGCACACTTGCAATGCCGTCATGATTGAGTGGAAATATAGTGTGGCTAGGCATGACGACTGGCCAAGATGTGTCTCCATAGCTTGATGGCAGATCCGGTATGTTGAGCTTCCCAAACAATTGGCGTACTGTTTTTCTGTCAGAACTGTTGTTTCCATAGAGTCCTCTGAGATTGCCAGATATGATCCTTCAGTAACCCATTTGATGGCTTCGGTTGGGTCACCTTGTGGCATAGGTATCACATGGGCCCGGTAGATCTGGAAGGCTGTTTGACTCGATGCGTACGGTATTGCCAAGTTGAGCAGAAGTCCTTCCTCAATTGTTGTGACATCGCGAAGCAGTTTCGCGTCATAATATGAGTGGATATCGCTTGGCGGTATCGCAAGTGTCAATCGGTGGTTCTCCTCCTTTTGGCTTTTGTATACTGCGTCTATGATCGCCAACAGGGATTCTCGCGGTACCAGAGACATCGGTAGTCGTTGGTCCAGCAGAGTTGGTATCGAGTTTAAGACATTTGTCTTAAAGGCATAAAGTGCGGCTTTATAGCTTGTTATATCTGCGTAGACAACGTTTAGTAGTGATGCTGCTGTGTCGAAGTTGAAATTTATCTGTTGGTTCGAGAACAATGTTTGTGTGCAGTCCCGCAAGATATGGAAATTGCCTTGAATTGTTGCAAACTGTTCTTCGAGTATTTTCCAATGTCGGTTTTGATTTTCGATGGTTTGTTGTTGAATTGCTCGGATTTCAGACAACTCAATCGAAATCGCAAAGAACTTTTCGTTGCTCGATGTTTCGATTTCTGACACATAGTCCGTAAGTGCCATTGAGTATTGTTCCAAGCTCTCAATGTTTTTGGCATTTGCTTGAGCCTGGTCCTGGCACGATCCGAAAATTTCCATAAGTCCACATCCTCCTGAATTTCCCATCATTATACCAGAGCCAAACAGACCAATTCCGGCGATGGCCGCTGCCGCAATTAGTGGAGCTCCCCTGCGGGTACGTGTTGAGTCTAGTGGGTTTTTGTTGAGGAAGCGGGAAGTGTCAGTTCTAATGGCTTGGGCTTCTTGCTTTGCTGCTGCAGCCTTATCCTCGATCATGTCCAGGAGCCAGTCAAGGTTGAATGGGTCTGTAGTTGAATTGAAGTTCGTGGAAAAATCCAGAGGGCACTCTATAGAGGGTGTTCGCCATTTCTCCGAAAGTTTGTTGAGGTAATTCCTCATTGTTGTCTTCATCGTGAAATTGTACTTTGGGAAAGGAATTAGGAACTGGACATTTACAAACTTTTCTGCCAGGATGATCTTACTTTCTTTGTGGAAGATTATCCCAGATGAAAGAACATCGTCGTAGGATGCCAAAGTACGGCCTATTTGTAGGACGAGAAGCAATAGTAGCATTGTCCCTTCGTGGTTTAGAGTAATGTTCCTGGTTAAAACTGTGGCTTCGTGTTTTGGGTGGGCGTTGTGGTATTTATTTCTACGGTATAAACAGTATGTTTGTTGTTTAGCCAAGTTTGGTGATTTTGATATTTCGGTGGCATTTACTTCCAATCATTGAGTTCGTATTCAGGTTGTGTTGGTTTATTTAATGGGTATGATACGGACTCAGCAAATGATCATCAAGAGGTCGACAAATTGTTGACTTTTGCCAATTTTATCTTGTCACTGCACTTAATTTGGCTCACGCTCAAGTTGTATTCCGTATTACAGTCAATTTTAGTTAAATCACTGACTATTAATTTAATCCCAGAATGTTCATCCGAGTAATTGACATTCCATATGTACCCGTTCTAAAGTGGCGAATGTCCCCAGTGAGTCAACTGTTGGTGGTGGCGAGTCTGGCTGATACGGCGGGTCACTGTAGCGTCCACAATGTTGCCGTTCGGACCGACAAATTTGGTTGGATTTCGGTACCACCTCGGGGGATCATTTGTCAGGGATTACTGCTGCCCAAGCTGAGGGCCTATGTGTCAGAGTTGGACGGCCCCGTGGTCATGGTGCAGCTGACGGAGGCAATTTCGGTGATTGAGATCTCCTTCACCGCAAAATATGCTGACGTCAGGCTGTGGTGTCCCGGGGAGGAGCATGAAAAGTCTCTTTGTGGGAACAAAGACGAGAGTATTTAAACTCAAAACTTGAAGCTTCCTGTAGTTTGTATTATCGTT